CGATTTTTTTTTTTATATATTTATGACTAAAAAAATTCTTTTGAAAGTAGGAGTAGCAAGGAGGTAGTAGTAAATTTTTGCATTTGTTGTGCCTTATATAATATTTTTGCATACGCACATAAATACTGCCATGACATACATATTTAATAGGAATTGTTGCTACCTTTTTATGGATGTTGCAGGTTTTTTCTTGTTGCTTCCGAAAAAACAGCAAAAAACACCACAAAAAGCCTGTTTAGGTTTTAAGCCTTTTTACCAGCTGCCCCACACAAGTATGCCCATGTCTGCACTGTATGTAGGCTGAGTATGGCAACGAGTACGTACGGTTGTATATCCTAGCGGAATTCGTCAAGCGTTTCGGTGATTTGAAATGCGTTTGCTGTGTTTGCGCTTCTCTCTTTTGATTCTATATTTTTATTTTATTTTATTTTATTGTGTACAATATTTTCTGCTAACAATTTTCCTTCCCCTGTTTTCTGTTTTCGTCATTAACATTTTGCTCATTTTTCAACATGATATCTCGTTACTCCCCCATTTCATTTTACGAACACTTTCACGTTTTTACTTTTTATTTGTAATTTTCCTCTAGTCACAAGTGACAAAACGCAACGAAAAGAAGAAAGAAAGAAAGATACATGACATAAGCACTAGTATATTTATTTTTAATTTCTTCTATTTTTGCTTTCAATTTTTTCTATTTTTTGTGAGGAAAATATTCGCCTGCGGCGTTCTTTGCTCAACCAACGTTAACGCGTACTCTGTCCTGGCAGTTTTTCTTGGTTTTTTTCGGTAGACTTACTGGTTTCACTTTAAACCGAAATGGGAAAAATAAATACATAAATTTGTTGCGATTTTACGGTATATTTTCATGAAAAAGTAAAGCTGATAACAGTGATAGATTTCGATGTGTAGTCTTTTGATTGTCTCGAGGTGAGGTTGATACCAAAGAGAGGTTATAAAGTGACTATTTTTCAAATGATTTCAGTAGCTCACAACTTTCGGTTGATCTACTTCAACTCTGGGTTGCCGTCAAGCATCTGTTGACGAGGCTTGGGAAGAGATATACTCCACCGTCGTTTCAGCGCTCTGAGCGCACTCATTGAAAACTCCTCTAGCCTTTAAAAACAAGTGCAATGAGAGACGATATTCCATGAAATCTGTGAGGAATATGTAGACAGAAAAAATAGGCCGAAATATGTGAGTGTGAAGAGCTTTAAGAGCGGAAAATTATTTAAGAAATCAAGGCAAAAACTGATGCTAGATGATTCCATTTGAGGGCTGTCATGTTCTCAATAAAGCAGTTCTATCAGTATCGAACTCTTTGAGATGTTGTTTAGTTGGTTGGTTGGTTCACTGAGGAGCTGATCACCAGTGGGCGCACCATTGACCATTAAACAAGTTCAATGTGCTCCTCTTTGAGTTATTATATTTCATAAATTCTTCAAATCATAGCCTTCTAGGGTAAAGTAAGTAATCGCAGAGGCTAAATACCTCAATGAGTTCGTTTACGCTGCTGCGAACTAAAAGGCAAAAATTATAATTCCTACAAAAGAAAAATGAGTGAATAGATCTTTGGTATTAGTCTCCTCACTTGGTAAGCAGGAGGTTACCCGCCCCAACACCAACCTAAGCGATGGCCTCCAGGTATGTGCTCTGATATTTGAATGGTCAGCTGACATTTCGATGTTTAGTCGAGGTTGAAGTTATAATTTATGCGCATGCGGATACTGGAGGCGAGTGACTAACCCTTACCGGCATGCTAGTAAAACCCAATTTGAACTCTTTAATCATGACAAATACAATTAGCCTTGAAAGCCATCAATGAATATCAAGCAATGGCCACTGGCAGCCCCAAACCTAGAAAAATCACAAGAAATATCTCAATCAAATGAAGCATACCCGGTGCCAGTGGGAAGATAATCAAGGATTAGGTGCTCAGTATCTCAGTTGATATAGAAATGGCGAAATGCTAACAGCTAATCGTAGAAGGGTACGAAAGCTGTTTTAAAAAGAAGCAGTGAGAACGCATTCCTGAAGAGAAAAATAGGCGAATTGAGTACTCGCACCTCATGAACCACCACGGCTTTAGACAACTCATTGAACTCTCCTCTCACTGTAGTGTGAACACGTCGTAACAGCTTGTCGTATAGAACTACCGCGGTTAGATCATTCCGAAGACATAAACTAGCATGGCCTGCTCCTCAGCGATAGCCCTGAATCACCACCAACAGCAGTTAAATCACAAGCGAGCTCAATGCGAGAGTCGGCGGTGGTCTCTCTTTAGGATATACTGCAATTCAACTTCCTTTAAGACTACTTGAAAATTACAGCGTTTTTTAGATGGAGGTATCTGCTATCATGGAAGTAGCAAAGAAAATCGGAGTAACCTTTTAAGATAAGCATAGCTTCATTTCTAGCAATCGTTAGGTAGCACTAAAAGCACTGAGATTGCTTACACTAAATTCCAAAACAGTGCTTGGCTGTCTCCACAGAAGATGGCCAAACAGAAAAGATTGTCCCCCATGTGGATCTCTGGTTACAGAGACATCGATTAAAATTGTCAGACGGATGACCTTGCTAGGAAAGGAACGAACAAACAGATTATTCTCGCTAAAGAACGCATTTGTATGCTTTTTGCCACGCCGCCTAAAGATGGAATGTAACTACACCCTGGCACCAATCCAGGCACACCACTACCACTGTACTCTTCAAAGCGAAGGGAAATGTCTGAAGTAATAGGAGTATTGACCGGCCGTTGTCTTACGACTAGGCACACCTATTGTTCAAAAGATGTTGAGGAGCTGAAATAATGATGAGGAGGAGGAGACGGTCGTGCATATCTTATGTGACTGCTTTGACTGTCTCCGAATTTTGAGACCCTACTGCTGGATTATCAAAGGAAGTCGTCGTCAAAATCTTGGATTTAATTATATTCAAAATGGCAAGAAAACCCTAAACGTTTTTTAAACTTTTTGTCAGCCCTAAGTGTAATCGATACGATCCATTCCAACTTAACCTCAACTAACATATAAAACATATGAGAACTTTACGGCTGCTATTAACTGTGAGGTAAAAGAACTATACGCCTAAAAGTATGGAAGGGAAATTCCTTACAATCCATACAACTCTCTTAGGGAATCGAATTTCAAGTAGTTACAAAACAACAATGACTCTGGAAATAATTTTAGTATTTTTTCAAAATAAAGGATTAAATAGGAAAATGGTTTGCATAAGAATTTTAATTAAAAAAAATTTCAATTTGTTTTCTATAATTTTATAACAGATAGGCGCCTTAAATTATACAAAAAAAAAATGAAAAATGAATTTAGCTGTGAGAATTTGAGATTTTTTTTTACTTTTAAGTTTTCCGAATTTTTTTTCGATTTTCTAACCAAATAAATATATAGTATAGTTATATATATAGTTATATATATAGTGCTTGCGTTTATCTATAAAAACAATAGTGGCCTAAAATCTATGTATATATGTATGTACGCATGACTACATGTAACATATGTTATATAAATCATAGCACGAAACTGACGGGATGATGGGAATATACGGGGAAGAAGAGGCCTGTCAAAAATCTGCACTTTTGTCTGTGTATGTATTCGTATCTTTATACATACATTTGTATACATACAAATATTATATATATATATTTGTATATTGCGCCTGGTAATCTAATAAAATGCAAAACTGAATAAACGAAAACAGAGCAGAGAAAATTAAAATTTGAGAACACAAAAAAAGAAACAACAACAAAAATTTCGCGTACAACATTTACACACTCACACACGCTCGCATATATATGAAATTGCAAAAATTGAGGACACACAGAAACACGGCACATTTATGAAAATGAATATCAAAATCAAATTCTGCCGCCAAATGGAGGTGTGGAAAAAAATATATGAAAATCACAAAAAAAAAATCCAAAAACAATTAAAAAAAATTTGTGGCATAAAAAATATATTTAAAACTAACAACGATTTAATAAAAAATAAAAAAGTGAAAATTATTAAAAAATTGGCAACAGAAAATATTGAAAAATAGCTGAGGCGAGAGTTGATTATATATTTTGAACAAAACCTACATACATATATGTATAAAAGTACATATGCGTTTATGTAGATGCAAGTACGCGTGGCCATATAAATGGCGGCCAAATGGGAAATAACTAGAAATATTGTAATAATACAACCTGCATGCACTACTACATGTATATGTTTCTATGTATATATTTATATATATAAAATTGTTTGTATATTTGCAATTTTATTTGCCAAGCATTTGTTATTTATTTAACAATTTTTGATATAGCAAACACATACAACACTCCAATATTGCAAACATAAAATGTCAACGGAAAATTTATACGCGAAAGCAAGGATTTTTTTTTTTGGTTTTTTTTTTATTGGGACTGCGAAATTTTGCAGGAAGTGCAAAAGGGAAATTTGGAAGAATTTTGTGAAATTTTATTACATTTTCCAGCCAATTTTGCGTAACGAATTTCATGGCGGATTTTCAGATTGAAATTTTACAAATTTCTATGTGCAACCAATTTTTTGGCCGGAAATGGCAAAATGGCGTACTAATACTGTTAGAATTTAATTTTTGCCAATTTTTTTTTATTCTCTATGATTTTTAATTTTGTGAGCTGTTTGCAATTTTTTGCTATTTTTTATTTATTTATTTTTTTCAATATTATTTTTATTTTTATTTTTATTTTTATTTTTATTTTTTTATGTATTTTTGTTAATTTTTAATATTATTTTTGAATATTTTTATTTTAATTTTTTTTTAAATAATTTTTAAATAATTTTTAAATTTTGGTAAGGGTTTCAGGATAGCTGGGTTGTGGCGATAAAACAAAAAAGTGTGTGCTTTGTTTAAAATATTTATATCTATTTAAATTGTTGTAACTTCGGCTCTTAAATTTTTATAAATATTTTTTTTATTGTTTACATATTTTCTAACGACAACAATTTATTTTAAGAATAAAAAGAGTAGTCTAGTGAATCATAAAAAGAAAAAAAAAAAACAAATTAAACGTGTTGTACGTAGATATGTAGTTATGCATAAGGTAAACAAATTCATAGACAAAGAACACGACGAAGAGCAAAAAATATATAAATATATATTTATATAAATTGTATAATACTTGGTGATATTGAGATAAATGCAGTATTTAGTAGAAGTAGTAGTAGTAGTAGTAAGTAGTAAACGGTAATGTAACGGTATCATTTGAGTTTGATAATCGAAATCGAACAGGAGTGAAAACGTCAACAAAAGAAAAACTAAACACTTTTCATATGTATATATATCTTTTTTTTTTGTTTTTTTTTGTTTTGTTTTGTGATTATTTTCTTTTTGCTTGCTATGAATGTATAAAAAAACGGATAAGCCAAAACTTAAGGGGTTTCTCTGCACTTACCGACTCGTGTGTGGTGAGACGATAGTCTAAGTCGCCACCCAAACCGCCACCCGCCGACGCTGAGCGCGGCTGATGCATATGTCGACTGTTGCTGTTGTCATCCTCGCTGCAATCGATCTCCTTCTTGAGCGACTAAAATGAAATTGTAAACGTTAATTTTTACAAAATAAAAAGTAACCTCCAAAAATGCACATAAACTCACCAGCGGCACAGATTGAACTGGCCCTAAACCGGACGCGCCTGTCAAAGATTCACTACCTGCTGCCGCCGCTGACGAGCTGGGACTCATGCCGGCACACGCCGCGGAGGTGGAGGGCAAACCGCAGACACCACTACTACCCGGCCGTTCGCTGCCCACCGCTGTGCTCACATCGCGTGGACTACGCGAGGTGGCGCGATGTGTGAGATCCGAGGCGAGTATGAGACCACCACACGCGGACGCCGCCGAGCTGGTCGCTGCAGCTGGTGTGGAGCGCGCTGATTCCGGATCACCGCCACCACCACCACTACCACCGCCAAGTGGTGAGGGTAATGCCAACGCTGCAGCTGTGTGGCTAATTGCCGCGCCGATTTTCATATTCAACCCCATAGCATCGTTAGAGCTGTTATCGTCAACGTCATCATCTAGATCCATTTCTTCGTCATAGCTATCGGGCTCTTCGATTTTTTCCACCACATCGAGTACGCTGCACGAACTTGGGCGTACGCCCAGCGGTGAATCGAGCGCACCGATAACGCCATGTTGCTGTTGTGACTCATCGTCATCGTCCTCCTCATCGTCCGTATCCACGCGTCGTCTTGTCGTCTTGTTATCGCCATTGTTGTGCTGTGTTGCCGGCGTGGAGCTGCTGCCACCACCGCTTGCACCAGCACCACTGGACTTCGGATTCTTACTACTAGTGTTGTTGTTATTTTTGCTAATGGCATGCGCTGCCGCATCGCGTTCTTCGCTCGTGGCATGTGCGCCACATTCCGCAACGGCTGTGGTTATTTCACCACCACGTCCCTGATAGAGATCAAGCGGCAGCGGTGAAGAGTCACGTTCGGGTGACATTTGTTGACGCTTAGTGGGTGGCGCTGATGACGGACTGCTGCCGCCGCCGCCGCCACGTTCACCACTAGCGTCACGTTTTTGCGCTGTGGATGCCGTAGTTGTTGTACCGGCCAGGCCGGTTGTTGAATTTGACGTGGACGTGGTTGGTGTGGTTGCTGAGGACGCTGAGGCTAAGGCTGTGCTGCTGACTGGCGTCGCACTGCCGGACGCTGTTGTGGTCGAGGCTGAGGTGGCGATTGTTGAGGTTGAAACAGACTGAGACGAAGCTGTAGCGGCTGGCGACGAAGTGCTTGTATTGGCTAAGTTTGCGGCTGAGGTGGCTAACAATGTGGTTGACCCGGACGAAAGCGCTGTGTCGACGGGACTGTCACAGGTGCTCTTGATTGGCTGCGAATGCGGTCTCAAGCGATCCGGTTCACGTTCTGGCTCTCTGAGTGCTGTATTCTGATTGGTCATCTCGGCTAAGCCCTTAACCTGGGAGCGCACAAAAGAGGGATAAAAGCAAAGCAAATTATATAAGTAGAGTTGTTTTAGTTATTGAAAGGAGGTCTCTACACAAATATTGTTGGAATAACATTTGACTCGTATTCTCATAAATATTTACAATACAAGTACTCACTTTTAACGACTCGGCCGTTTTGAGCAAAGCCGACAACTGACAATATTGCACGTTAACTTCGCCCTTATACATGAATTCGACTAATGTTTTCAGTTCGGCTAATCGGACGTCCTTCAATATCACAATTGGGTGCTTTTCGGGGTGGTCCAGAAAAAGGCTCTGGAAATATGACGAACAGGCCGAGAGGACCACCTGAAATGAGAGAGAAGAGAAACATATTTTCAGTTTATTCAGAGAGAGAGAGAGAGTTCATAAGGTATTGCTCTAGAAGGAAATCATATAACAATGAAACTGACCACTTGCGTCTAATAACTGACAGCTGACCAGTGACAAACGACAATAGAAAAATCAATCGAATATATATAAAATTATGAACGACATTTTTAAAACTGTTAAGAACAGTATGACTGTCCGAAGGTCTACAACTGAGCCCTGACTAATTAGGGATTACAAATTCGTACAAAAAGAAGGTTAAAATAAAATAAAATAAAATACAAAAATAAAATAAAATAGAATAAAATGAAGTAAAATAAAAAAGTGCAATAAAATAAAATAAAACAAAATAAATTAAATTAAATAATATTAAAAAGAATAAATTAAGAAGAATAAATTAAAAAGAAAAACAAATAAATGAAATAAAATGAGAACAAAACAAAATAAAATACTTAAAAAAAGTAAAACTAAAATAAACTAAAATCAATTAAAATTGAACAACAGAAAATAAGTGGAAAAAAACTTAAATAGCATAAGATAAAAAAAAGAAATAAAATAAAATAACATTAAGTCAAATTAAAATAATAAGTAGATAAAAAATAATAAAAAAATAGAATAAAACATAAAAAAATTAAAATAAAAAAAGAAATAAAAATTACATTAATAAAATTTAAAAAAAATATAGTTAAACAAATTAACAAAAAAATTATATACTATTTATTATTTATATATATTATTATTTCATTTTAACCTAATAAAAATAAAAAGAAATACTATAATAATAGAAAATTTAAATAAATATAAAAATTATTAAAAGAAAATTAAATAAGTAAAAAAATAAGATAGAACAAAATAAAATAAAATTTAATAATATTAAAATAAATTAAATATATTAGAATAAATTAAAATGAATTAAAAAAATTTAAAATAAAAAATAAAAAAAAAAAATAAAAAAAGATAAGATGATATAAAATTAACTAAAATAAATTACAATAAAAAACACAATATAACAAATAAAAAGATTTAGCTAAGTAGAAGAGACTAAAATTAAAGAAGAAATAAATAACAAGAAATAAATTAATTAAAATTAAAAAAGATTTAAATAAAATAAGAAAATAAAAAAAATAAAATAAAAAAAATTTAAAAAAAATAAGATAAAACCAAATAAAATAAAATTTAATTATATTGAAAAAAAATATTAAATTTATAAGAATAAATTAAAATGAATTAAAAATAATAAAATAAAAAATTAAAAAAATAAGAGCTAAGCAAAAGAAACTGAAATTAAAGAAATTGATATAAATATATTAAAACAAAGAAATTTAAAAAAGTAATTTAATAGCTAATAATTAATTTATTTATTAAATTAAATAAAAATTATTAAAAACAGTAATAATTCGACTTTTAGCGACTAAGCTCGAAGAGCTCGGAATATATTAACTAAAAATAAAAAATAAAACTATTTCTTCTACCAAACTCATTGTGGCGCAATCAAATAAATAACGCAATCACAAAAGCAATTGGCCCACTTTCGTGCACATAGTGGCACAACTGCACAGCCAGCCGGAGCCGGTGACGCTTCAGGACGCGCTTTTAGAGTAATTGAAATTTCCCTAATGTGCTTGTGCGCACGCTGTGGTCAAAACAACTGTCCCAATGGAGAATATATGTACTCGTATATGTACACGTATGAATGCACAGGCGATTGTTGTAAATAATGTGTGTGTACAATCATATATTTGTATGAATGTGTGTGCAGTTCATGTAAGATGTAAGCGTATAAATTTCATAAAAGCTCATAACCATTTGCACAATTGTTATTGTTGTTATGGTGATTGCATTAATAAATATATTGCTTGTCGCATTGCTGTTGTTGCATTTGTTACACAATCGCATAATTTTTGCCTTGCGTGTGCGTTCTGTTTTCAATTTCCCAACGTGTTGAATGCAACAATTTCCTTTATTTACAACCTCAACAAATCGTTAGCGCCTGCGCGCAAATACAACAACTACCAGAAAAAAAAATAATAAGAAAAAGTTTGCAATTTGTGCAACATGTTGCACCAACGAAATAATATGAACGCGAGAAAAAAGAACACAACAAAAGCGTCAGAGATAGCAACGCAATGCGAGGCAAACGCATAGCAATTAAAGTCCATCGAATGCAGGCGTTTGTGACGGTGGTGGGCAAGGAGTTTGTTTTTATTTTACTATATTTTTGTTTTTCAACCCGCAAGTGCGCACGAAATATGCATCGCATATCATTGCCTACCCCAAGGCGTTGAAACTGCGTTGTAATGCTGCGCAGCTGTGTGATTGTGGCGCATTTTAATTTGCGCATGCGCACATAAAAATCAATGTGAAGCAAGAAAACTGCCGAGCGGTATATATATGTATGTTATGTCTGTATGTTAGTAGCAGTTCGCAGAGCGGGGCGAACGGGCGAGTGTTGAATGAATGCGCTAAAAATGTTAGAAATATCAGCAAATAAAAGAAAATGCTAGCGAAATGTTTGAGCCTACGCGATTTCACCACAGAAGAATATGTAGACAAAAGAGGAAAATATACGTATAGCATGAATAGAAAACAACTTGTAAAAAATTTATATCCCTGTTGAATGATTGTCGAATAATTGTTAATAAAATTTTGGAAAAAAATAAATAAATTTTTAGCGGCTCAAAAATCTCTTATTGGAGTAACCGGTTGTATGGTACCCAAATTTAAAATTAGTTAAATTTCTATAAATTTCGTTTGAAACTTTATCTAAATACTAACATCTATAAGTGAGAGTCTTGACCCAAAAAAGCATTTTGAAAAATCATTTGTGTGAGAGTTATCGGTAGTAATCGGTAGTATCGATTGCGATAATTTTCACTAACGATGCTCTTCGAGGTATAAATATGCGTAATCCTAAATTGTAGACTGCTAACTATTTAAATGTTCGAGTTTTGAACAAAAAGTAAAGTTTTTAAAAAACATTTGTATGACAGCAATTTATTGCAATTGCCCGACATCGATAATTTTAATAATCGATATTTTTTATATGAAAAATATGCGTAATACCAAATTATTTACCTTTAGCTGCATTGAGTAATAGAATTTTTACCCAAAAAGACATTTTCGAAAAACTAATTGTATGACAATTATCGGTAGTAATAGTCCGATTTCGATCATTTTAATAATCGATACTCTTCATATATTCAAATAGGCCAAATTATTTAGCCTTAGCTGCATTAAGTAGTAGAATTTTTATCAAAAACACATTTTCGAAAAATTGGCTGTATGGCAGCTTTGATCGCTCGATTTCGATACTTTTCACAATCGATATATAGTTTTAATTGCGAATATTTAGGATTTTCGAAAAATCAGTTACATAGAAGTCTACTAATTTCGATGATATTTACTGATATTTTTACGATCATTTCGTATTTGTGGAAAATTTATTTATATTTTAATATTTTTTAAGCATGAAGGGTATGAAATATCTGAAATACACTTAGAAAATAATCTAGCGTATAAAGCCGCAAAAAAAAATATAAGAAAAATTCGAATTCCTATTTTTTTGTATTTTTTTTAACAGAGAAAAAATTCTCGCACTGTTATTTGCCACAAGTTGTTGCACTACATACTGCACAATTGTACATATATACTTGTATGTGTGTCAGTACACGCGCGTCTGCACAGCATGCTGTTAACGCCTTCACCAGCACCAGCACCACCACTCCAACTCTAATGGCCAAAGGCGGCAACAACTTTCCTGAATAAAGCCTGCACGTGTTGCACTATAACTGTCCACAAGTTGTTGCAATGTGGCAATGAGTGTTGCTGCATGGTAAATTTAAGTTATCTTTTGCTTCATTCTTTTTTTTCTAGATTGCATTTTCCAGTTTTGTTTTTCTTATTTTCGCCATTAAACTTCGCATATCATAAAATATCATCGAATATTTTACACCAAACCGAAAAACACTCCTTACTTTTCACCAAACATTGGCGTAGCTGCTTTGTTGGCCTTTCGGTGGCGCGCAGCATGAAGAACATATAAATTTTGTTTGGCAAAAGAAAAGTGTCGAAGCCGAAGGGTAAATAAATTCTCTGGTCTGTTGCCGCCGAGGTGGGCCGACTAGAAGTAAGAAATGGCAGTTAAACACATTTGTGTGTGTGTGTGTGTGTGCACAAACACTTGTGAGTATAATTATAATAAAAAAAATTTTAGTTGAATGTATAAACACTATTTTAGCAACACTTAGACACCACTCAGCTGCGATTAACAGTTCAAACTGACGAATGATGAGAAAGAATGTTGGCTTGTACTGAAGAGATAATAGAGGAAGGGTCAAGAGAAGCTTTCCTTCCACGGAGCTGAGCTTCGTAAGCCGAATCGTGAAATGCATTGTGGCCGAAAGACTAATATTTGTTATAAGCGAGTCGTCAGGACCGGAAAAGATCGAGGCGAAAGGCTGACGCTATATTGCCTTCTTGAGGTTCGATAACCAAAGTTCCAAAACATGAAAAGCAGCGGCACCTGCTAGAGAGATAGCTAAGAAGATACTGACTTCAGCGCTCATTGATCACAGGAGCTCGATAAAGCAAATAACTCAGGCCCGGTAAAGATCAGTGAGCTGAAACTGTGGAATGCACCTATCGTGAGAATGAATACCAACTCGAGTTTGCCTATATCGGCCTTTGGCCCTCATCGCAGCAGAAATTAAAATCATTAAATGCAAACACGCAGGCTCGCAGCCTTGAGTAAAGGAAGAGGCTGGATGGATGTCGATATATATATACGAGTATATCGGACTACCTCTGCATTCCGCCCATACTGAAAACAAAGGTATTTATGCCACTTTCGGTGACGTAGGAAAATAGTCCAATAGCTCCTAAAGCGATAACATCCGGTTGTGCCAACGGATAACTGTAATGTGTTGAAGGCCATAAGCTCTGTTGGTGGGTTAGAAGTAAAGTGTATCTCCTATTGCCTC